TCCACACTTTGCTTGAATTTTGCCGAGGTCCATCTCCCAGTGCTCCCTGTCCCCATGCCTAACCCCAGGAAGGGTGCGTGGCTCTGCGCACACTCTTGTGGGTCTGGGTGGCTGCTGCAGGAACGAGGTGCTGGCTTTCTGAGCATGCTCAGGTGAGGAAACCCATCCCAGCTCACGCTTTGAGGTTTTTTGATTTTGCTCTTTTCTTTTGTCTGTTTGCAAAAGCTGAAGAAAATGCTCTTCCCACCTGTACAGCGACTGGCCCCCCGCTTCAGGTGCCAGTGAAAGAAGGGTGTCCGGACTTAACTTAGAAGAAAGCGGTAAAAGGGACTTACCTGGCCCAAGGCAGAGGGGAGCTGAGGGACTGAGTGCGAAACCAGTGCTTTGCATTTACTCACGAGCCTGGCTGAGCCTGGCTTGACCTCTCCAGCTCTCTGCCTCCCGGCACCAGCCCCGGTTACAAGGAGAGAGAGGGAGGAGAAACTGGTAAGTCCTACCTTGATCCAGCTGGAACGTCCGATACTGGACAGTCGGGCTGTACGGCCCGGGGCCTTTACTGGTGTGAGCACGGATTTTAACGTCATAGGCGGTGTTGGGTTTGAGGCCGTTGAGGGTGTACGAGTTCTCTGGGGAGGGGGGCAGGTCTTTTTCCAGCGGGTTGCCGGGAGAACCGGCTTCCCGGTAGGCCACGGTGTATTTGACGATGGCTCCGTTCCTCTCGGCCAGCACGGGGGGGAGCCAGCCAAACTGGACCGACATGGAAGTGATGTTGCTCGCCTCGAGGATTTGGGGATAACCCTTGGGGATGTCTTCAGGGGTGGTGAGTTCCTGCACAGCTTCCTCCCCAAAGCCAGCCCGGCTTTTCACGGCCAGCTTGAAAACATACGTGGCGCCCTTATGGATGCTGGGAGCGGTGTACTTATCCTCCAGGGCTGTGAACTCCAAGGTAGCCAGGGGGTCGACATCCTTGCGGCCAAACTGGAGCCGGTAGCCCATCACCTGGCCTTCCGCACCCAACGGAGGCCCCCATTTCACCAGAAGAGTGTTCTCCTCCGTCTGGTGCACAGACAGGATGGGCTTCCCTGGGACTGGGAGAGAAGAGATAGACTTTCAGTCAAACTTGGGACCGGATGGCTGGTGAGACAGGTTCCTCAAAGTGAGGTTTCAGCTCGACTGGGTGTACTTCTCCCTCCGTAAAACAGGCTGCTGCTGCCCACCCCCTGTACAGGTGGATGGTCTCCATCCAGTTTTGGACATGAGATGCATTGTGAAGTTCTGACACATTCCTGGATTAATTTTCTTCCTTCTTCCAGGATGGAAAGGTGTGCATAGCTCCTCCCTTATCCCTGGATCACATACTCTCCCACAGCAGGCACAAACAAACTCAGGAGTCCTGATTCCCAGCCTCCTGGCCCAATCACCCAAGCAGATTGCTTCCCAGGGCAGGGAAGAAGGAACACAGGAGTCCCCCAAACTCCCATCCTCTCTCTCCGTTACACAGCACAACTCATGCAGAAAGAGACTGGAACAGATTGGCTCAGGCTGGGAAGTCCAGAGCAGCTGAGGGTGAAGTAATGAAGGATGGGAAAGGAAGGCTGGGCAGCCCCGGGTCCTGAGCAGCAGGCACGCAGCCAGCTAAGCGAGTCTGGCAGGCATCTGATCACCCAGCTGGGTACAGAAAGAAGGAAGCACACAGAGAGTGGAAACAGAGCCCAGAATCCGTGCAAGGCAGAGGGTAGGGTTGCTGTTTACTCTGTGCAATTTCTCTCCTCTGAAGGAAGGGAAAAGACAATGTTGGTGTGTTTTCAGTCAGCTCCCTCCTTAAGCTGCCGGTTAGTTCCTCCATGTTCGGGGGGATATTGCAGGAGCTCAGCAGTGCCATGCCTCTGTCTAATGAGCCCTGGCACGTCCCGACTGTTAAGCAAGCCCACAGCCACAGTTAAATGACATGTGTAGGCCCAGAGGTTCCTGAAGCTGGAGAAAGCAGAGCATTAATTCCAGCAGCTCACGCGTCATTTACACTCAACTCCACCATTAGCGATCTAATGTCCTTCTCTCTGCCTTGGTATTCCTCCTGGTTGAACAGGAGTGGGAGAGGGAGTGGAGTTAGGAGAGCTCCCGGCCCACTCTCGCAGCACGACGCCGACGGAGGGTTGGCACGTTGGAGAGCGGTAGCGCGGCTGGGGGCGGCGCGCGGGGGCCTGTGGCAGGGAGCCTGGCAGAGCCAAACTGGGGGAACTGCTCTGCCTGCTGCATCGACTGACATCTGAACACGGGGACGAGGGGCTGTCTGCGAAACAAACGCTTTATTCGTTCCGAACTGCCAGAGATGGCTAGGGAGCAGTGCTGGGAGAGCCTCCCTGGGAATGCCTAAGGAACACATTAAAGAGACGAACAATGCCATTACCTTCATGTTTTGGCTTTCATCACCAATGTTACTGTAATCAGCTGAGCTTGAAAACAGTACATTTGTTTAGCAGAAAGGTGAGAAGAAAGCCGAGGGGTGAGGGGGGGAGAAGTGTTTTATTTTGCAATTGGTTTGGACAGTAAAGGAGAAAATTGGATATATTACTGTATTTAAATTCGGCCCCTAGCCCTGAATGATAAAGAAAGAAATCTCTCCTCTCAGAAGGTATATTGACTCGACACTGCAAAGAAGATAAGAATGTTACTGAGCCATTTGAAAGATTTTTTTTAAAAACAGCTATTTCAAGTTGGGGGAAATTGAGTTTTGGGTAATAGCTGGTGCGGTGGAGAAAACATCCCTCTGTGACTGATCACCTGCACTGCAAATCCTAATGGGGAGAGATGAGGGAGGTTGACAAGAGAGCGACAAGGGAGGGAGGCAGAAAGAAGAGCTCTGGGAGAGAAAAATGAAAAGGGTAGAGAGCCTCGGGAAGAAGGAAACACGATGAGAACCAGGAAGCAGGGAGAAGAAACATGGGCAAAGCCAGAGGGGAAGGAGAAGAGGGCAAGTGAAGGAAAAGGTGTCGGACAGCACACTGACACTACCAGGCGTGAGGACAGGAGCCTGGATGCTGACATCCAAACGGACCCAGCGTAACGTCTGCAAGAGCTGGTGTCCTGGAAAGGAACACTGTTCTGTGCACTGTTCTCTTAACTGGGCAGGTGAGGTGAGAGAGAGGCTGAAATCACACTCACTTGGCTGAACACAAGAACATAAAAGGATATGAAGACGTGAGTTAGGGCAGGGAAAAGGCAAGGACATGGAGTGCAGCCGTGGCTCCAGCCCTGTGTGTTCCAGGCCAGGGCTCCTGAGCCCTCTCTGTCCTGTACGCTGAGCTGAGTGTCTGTGCTGCCTCCAGAGTCTGAGCAGAGGTTTCCAGGTTAATTATGCTGTACTGACCAAAGGCCTTCGGCCCCTGCAGAGACAGAGCAATGTTCTTCCAGAAACAAGGGATGATGTCAGTTTATGCAGCTGTACAGGCTGAAGACAACTGCCCCAAAACTGAGAAGAAAATAAACAGAAGCCAGGGGTGGGGAGGTAGCAGACAAAGAAATGAAAAGGGGAGAAGGTCATCATCGGACAGCAGAACAGAAGAAACAGCACGAGAAAGATGGGGTGAGAGAAGGTAACAACAATCCAACAAGAGATGGACAGGGCGAGGGACAGCTCCAGGTCTCGGCACCATAGGCTCCCCCTCCTGCACGGAACCCTTCCCGTTCTGTAGAGCAGAGGTTTAGCTGCAGGAACATAACCCGCAGGGCAAGAGATGGACAGGGCGAGGGACAACTCCAGGTCTCGGCACCATAGGCTCCCCCTCCTGCACGGAACCCTTCCCGTTCTGTAGAGCAGAGGTTTAGCTGCAGGAACATAACCCGCAGGCATGCAATGGAGTGTGTACCTCTCCCTTCCTGCCTGCAGCACATCTGTTTGGAGGAGCAAGGGATATCCTGTTGCCCTTTGTCATTCCTCTGTTTAGGCCCTGCCGTCCTGGCTTGGCACCACGTCCTCTGTACTGAGGCTGACAGACACTTTGCCACGAAGAATAGGTCAAAGGGAGGAATGAAGCTGGGTGGTTTGTGCAGACAGAGCCCAGGTCCCAGAAACGCTCGTGGGGAAAGGTCAACACTGTCAGTACTTCTCCCTCCACTAGTCCTGAGCAAAAAGGGGACGCAGATTCAGACACGATACTAGAAGAGAAGAGTGGGCAGCATAAAGCCACCACTGTCTTCCTGCTGCTCTTCAGATCTTTGCAAGTCAACACCATGACAGCAGACCTCTGGCTCTCCTGTTCCCCAGGGTACCTGTGTGCACCAAGCATCAAAGTCACACAGTCTCAGACTAGGCAGAGATTCTCTTCATTTCTGATGCACTGGAATTTGCAGCAGTTTAGAATTTAAAGCAATAAACTCATCCTCTGTTTCTGGGTGTGTCTGGGCTTTCTGCAGTACTGAACAGAAAATTATGTCATTTAGTGAGGGCTACATGTGAGGGCTGAAGGGGTTTCTGCCTTACTGGAAGTAATTTTGTCTCTGGGGCATTTGGCATTTGTTTCAAGTCTGTCCTTCATGAAGGGAGTGGGATGAAGTCTGGAGAGAGAGCTTCTTGGCTTTAGGAAACGGGTGAATCCCAGTGGTCCAGGAAAAGCCCCTTACCTGCACCCTTCGTGGTGACCACTTTGGGCTTGCTGCGAGCACCATCTCCCTTCATGGTGTAGGCGGCTACGGTAATGGAATACGCAGTCTCAGGCTGGAGCCCAGCAATGATCATTTCCTGTTTGCGAGATTCCAAAGGGAAATCATGTAAATATTCAGGTACATACACATGGGTAGATCTCTTCTCCGTGCAGGAGGCTCAGCCCTTTTCTAGCATGCAGGAACATTCTCTGAATCTGAAACCATGAGACACTCTGGGGCAACGGGGCAGATGTGGCAATTGGCAGGAGGATGAGCCACGTTCCCTCAGTGAGAGGCAAACAGCCTCTCTGTAAACACGGCATGTCTCTGCAAGGCCCTGGTTCAATGCCTTCTCTTCCAGATCTACCTCTCACACATTTCCTTTCTCAACAAAACCGCTTCAGCCATCAAAACCCTGTTGCGCTCTTCAAAGCGTTCCTCTTCACTATGCCGTCTCAGAGGAGGTCTCAGCAGTTTCAAGGAGATTACAGTTTTTTCTCCATTACCCCCCTCGCTTCTCTCCTCGGAGATATTTTTTAATGCCTTCATAATATTAAAGGGATTGCTTTAACGCAAAGTGCAAGACGACATTTTCTGCTTGCACGCTAAAGCTCTCCGTTAAATCCCCAACACCTCCTTGCTCCATCCTCTATCAGCCTCACCACACCTGGCTCCCAAGAGCTTTTGTTAGAAGACTGGCCTCAAGAACAGCCCTTCCCCAGGAAGGATTCAGCCCTTCAAAGGCTGTGTTGTAAAAGGAATACCCGTGCTAAATTAAACAGGATGAGAGCATTTGCAGCAGGGTTTTCTCCAAGGCCCTGGAAAGGAGGGAGATGTGGATGTTGTGCATGTTTTATGGTTTTCCTCCCACTTCACCCCACACCGCCCCTTTGTGCTTTCAGTATTAAATCTCAAGGCAGCACTTGGGAAAAATATGCTGGTCCTGAAAATGTCTGTGTTGCCCCCAAAGCTGAGCAGGGAGTGGAACAGCAGAACTTCAAAACAGTGGGATTTTGAGCCACAAGTTTGGAAGCCATGAGCTACAGAGACAGGTCTGTCTTCTACACGCCAAGAAACCTGTCTGCTTCCACAGTGGCCACTGACTTTTAGTAAGATTTTAGGCAAGAAACTTTGCCTTTCACGTGACTCAGTTATTCCGTCTGCAAAACGGAGCCCCTCACTTTCGCAGGGCCCTTGGCGACGTCCAGGAAACACGCTTCAGTAGCGCATTATCTTTGGAACCTGCCATTCCAAGAGGGAAATGCTTTCTCCTACTGCTTTGTAGCTCTAAGATCATGGCAACCATTTAGCATTTTAGCAGAAGTAGTAAATGCCAAACAGCCGAGCTGATTACCTAAAAGGCAAAAGGGCCAATAGCAAGTCAGTGTTTTTTAAGAACGAGTATCCAAAATCCTTGGCCCTTTAATGGCAGAAAACAATTGTTCGTGCCCCAATAGCTTGGAATTTATGGGCCTTGGAATACCCAACGCTTTTCAGCCTAGCTATGATTTTCAGACACAAGCCAGAGCTGCTTGCAGACCAGTGCATGCTCAAGGCAGTCCCAAACTCAACGTCCCATCTGCTTCCCCATGGACTCATCTTTCCCTGAGAGCCGAGGGGAAAACCCTGCCGCATCGCTGCGTGCTGAGTAACTACACAATCACACAGGGCTGCAGAGCAAAGTGAACAGGGGGGGGACAATGCGTGGGAACACCACCAACAGGCTTTACAACAGGCACACTGGCACTGCAAAAAAAACAAAGGAAAAGGAAAATTCCACACCACAACAGGAAGTGGGAGAAGGGAAGGAACAGAACCAGGATGGGAGTTTTACTTTTACTTACGTATTCAGCAGTGTGATCTGTTTCCCACTGGGCAGAGAACAAGAGAGGTTTTGCACATGAGAATACAAGAGGGGAAAGAAGGGAAAGACAGAGACACAGCATGAGGAAGGTCCCTGAGCAAGCAGCCACACAAGGTCAGAAGTTACCAGGCCAGCATGAAGGAAGAAGTAGAGTGGGAGAAATTAGTAGATTCCACTGTGGCCTTTGCCTGTTCTTAAAAAACTTCCCAGACACAGGGAGGACGGATGGCATTTAGTTCAGTGCTGGGACAGCAGTTCATACTCTTCCACAATAGCTACTGTCTGGGAGTGCAGATGAACTGCAGAAAGACAACACACACCCTGTCACAGAGACTCCCCTGCTTTCTCCAGCATTGTGTTCCTTGGGATGAGACAAGGCGGCTGGAGCACCCACCCCCTCAACCCTTCCACAAGAGATTGGAGCAGGAGTCCTTACCTGGGCGTCAGTCAGCATGATATCCTTGATCTGGGGCAGCCCCCTGGCCTCTCCGTTCTCCATGCGCACATAGTGGACCTGGTAGCCGCGAATCTGGCCATGCTGGCGGTTCTGGACTGGGGAGCGCCAGAACACTTGGATTGCGGTGGAGTTCAGGACCTCCACCTCCACTTTCCGAGGCGGAGCACTGGGCACTGCGAGGAAGGGAAGGAAGGGGTAAGAGTCACTTGGGGATTTCTATCTGGAGCCTGTCACTTTTCCTATGGGCCATCCTCACTTCTCCTACGGGACATCCTCATTTCTATGGGCCATCCTCACTGGTCCTACGGGACATCCTCACCACCTACGTGACATCCTCACCACCTCTGGGACACAGGGACACTGACTCTACAGCCCTGAAAGGTGGGGATGACTTAACAGTCAAACCAGAAACCCCATCATCTGCTGTGGCCTTTATTCAGTGAAACAGGGAAGCAGTTCTGGGGGATCTAATCCGCATGACTTGGAGATGTGCACGGAAACAGGTCCGTCTCCTAGTCCAGCTATTCTTCCACAGGCTCCTTTGTCACCCGTTTGCTCCGATGGAAGAAAGTACATACTTCCAGATCACATTCTGAGGGCAAAGCCCCTTCCTGAGCCAGAAAAGCTCTGGTCCTGCCTGTGGGATGTGGGGTTGGAGAGGATGGGAGGGGGACTTGCCCTTGGAACCCCCTTGTCTCTCAGGCAGGGCAGGGGGGTTGGTTACAGCTGCTGCATAATCTTAGGACAGGAAACAAGAGATGTCTTGGATGGAATTTGGGCTGAATTGTTGTAAGTTAATGATAGTAACGGTAATAATACAGGGCACGAGAGCTTCCTCTGCAAGGAAACCGTACTCTGAGCAAGGTATTCTATCCATCTGGATGTGGGCAGATGCTCAGGGAAACAGGACCCGTACTGGGGACAAACCTGTTGCCTTTTCAAAAATTCTTTTTTATTTGGGATGGAGGAAGAAAGCCTGAGGAGTTTAGAATTTACTTACGTTATTTACTTGACCTGCATTATTTGAGGGTCCTACCTCACCCTCACAGTGAGGGTGCTCTCCCTCCACACACACTTTCATGGTTTTTTCCTGGTTCTATTTTACTGCAGAAACACAAGAAATTTGAGTCCTGTTTGTGCTGAAAGGCTGAGCTGGGCCACTGAACTGGAGTTCAAACTGCTCGTCACTGAAGGTTTCTTGAAACTTTGAGTTCTACCTTTCTACCACTAAAACCTTGACTCAGAGAGGAGCTGGGAACAAGGAATGTGGGGAAGAACCCTCAGTATTTTCAAACAGTTCGTGGCAGCAACCATCTCCTCTGATTTCATTCCCTTGCTGCCCCAGCCGCCTCTTTGCTCGGTAAGAGCATCTTTTCAGGAAAAGTGGTGCAGTCAAGGCTCAGAGGTCTGATATTAAAAACGCCCATCGCTAACGGGGGGAAGGACAACCCTATGGACCCCCGTCCCAGAGGGACCCGGGAGATGGCAGCAGAGGTGCTGAGCCCACCGTGGGCTTCGGTCCTGCACCACACAAGCCATGAGAAGGGGCTCGACGTGTCCTCCCCAGCATGGGAAAAGCCCACTCCAGGGACTCACATTCCCCAGGGGACTCAGGAGAAAGCCAGAAGTGCAATTACCATCTTCATCTGTCCGGACGACAACCGGCGTGCTCTCCGGGCCCGGCCCCACCTCCGTATGAGCAACGACAGTGATGCGATAATTTGTCCACTTCTCCAGAGACTCCAGTAGGATCTGACTGGTGGTTGGGGGGATATCATTCACCTCCTTAAGCTCCGTGTCCTCCGAGTCCAGCGCTCGATAGTAGACGCTGTATCCAGCCAGGACGCCGTTCTGGCTTTCAGCCGGAGGCGGCCGCCAACTTACCAGAATGGCGGTGGATCTGGTGCTGACGCATTTTACGTCTTGAGGGGGGGCAGACGGTTCTACGAGGGGGGAAAATTCAGGAGGGAAAGGGAAGAAGGGGGAAAAAAACAAAAGATGGGAAAGATAAAAGAAAAAAAAAAGGAAAATGATAACAAAAAAATCTAAAATAAAACGTACAAAAATTTGGTTTAGGAAGATAAAATTAAAAAAGAAGAGAGCTTTTTGTTGTTGTCTTTTTTTTTTTTTAAATGAAAAGAAAAAAAAGCCAACGGAAATGAAACGGGGCGTCAAAACTGAAATGTTGTAAAGCAAAGGACTAGAAGAGCAAGCGGGCTAGCCAAGAGGGGTCTGGCTGCTTCTAAGCGTAGCTGGCACAAAACTAAGTACCCAGTTTTACCCTGTGGAAGACTTTTCCGTTGGCTCCCTGTTTTACCTCAGCCTGGCAAACCTTGCCCTGGCTAGTAAAGCACTTGTTTTCAAACTGCAGTCTCTGGGATCTTGGATTTCTTTGAAGGGATCTGTGAGAAATAAGTAATAAAAGCTAATTTTTTGCCAGGAGGCTAAAATTTAAGAGTCTCTACCTCCAGATGGAAGTTGTTAGTTACCACAGACTGGAGGAGGTGAAAAATCACGGTGGCAATGCCCGGGATATTGCCAAGCAGTGAGCCCCCGGCGTGTTTAGACAGGAGGGTTTTAGGGAAGAGACTTGCACAGGAGCGAGGCGGCGGGTTTGAGAAGGAATTCAGGTCCCCAGAGGGATGGTGCACAGCGGCAGCAGGTCTAACTCCCACCATACTCTCTGCCTAAACTACATCCGGGTATTTCCGAAAGTCCCATGAGGACACCTTTGGAATATGGCCCTGTGCAGCTGCACGTTCCCACAGTGGCAGCAATCAGCTGTGCGAGGGCTGATTTTCAGGAGACGGGAAGGTGTAAAGCACAGCTTTCTCTGCTCACTCGGGTGTTTGCTGACTGCAGTAGGTAATTTTTAGTGTGGTCTGCTCCGTAGGAAGCAGGATGCTGACACCAGCTCCGTCAGACGCTACGTGCCGGGGTGCACGCTGCCACGCCACGGCCAGGCCTCGAGGTATAGGGAGAACTGCAAGAAACACGGGTGACGGAGGTGCCACGGGTCTGGAACCTTGGCGAAGTCTGGACAAATAGTCTGCCACTTCCGCACCCCAAGTGTGACCTGGTCGCTTTGGGAGATCTCAGACCAGGCTTCTTTCAATCACTAATTACAATCCATCAGCCTGGGTAAGCAGAGAGAGTGATGTATTTTCAAGGCAACTCTGAAATCTCATCTCACCCGATACAGTCAAACTGCAATAAATAGCTCTTAACTCTGCAGACACTGCCAGAAACCGGCGTGTCCTTATAAGCCCCCAAAGCATCACCTGCAAGAAGCACAAATCCTGGTCACCATTCCTCATTCCTCTGTTGCCTTTTCATCAGCAACAAGTTCTTTAACTGAGAAATGACCTTTTTCCAACATCTTACTCCCATCCCAGAGTCACACGCAGATGTTTAGGCCCAGCTTGCCTTGAGGACTCGGCTAAAACACGTCACATTTGCCCAGTTTGCACTGGAGAGAAAGGCAGATCCACTACACCGAAGCAAGTGGGTTTTGCAGAAAGGGTAAAGTCCTTCCACTGCAGTGCTGAGCACTCTGTCCAGTAGGACATTTTGGGTGTTGCCTTCCTACTTTGATGCTTCACTGCTACATTTTGGTATTTAAAATGGCAGAATGAAAGTTTTATCCTCAGAAATCCCACTGCAGAGGGTGATGACCCCCGGCCATGGCTAGCCACGCAAAATAATACGAAATATGTTCAAATAAACAAAACCAAAAGGAACAAACTGGAAAACAGAACATAAATCAAGCCAGTAATTCGAAACAAAAAAAAAAAATCAGAAAGGAAATCATAATAAAATAATACTGATATAAAAAGTGACTCCTTCCAGAACATTCCCAGACTGTTTACCTACCTTCCACGCTTCAACTGCTAACTTATAAGACTTTCTTACGAGAGAACGAGAGAAACTGAGCTACGAGGCCAGACCAAGCTCCTGGTGGGTTTCTGCACATGACTGGCTTTTAAAATGCCACCCTGCCCTGTTGCTAGCCCCCATCTGAGTTACTCCCCACTGCCAGCAGAGCCCCAGCTATCGCAGCAATGGCAATTTTGGACCCCAATCTATTCTTTTGCTAAGGTACCTGTCCCGAGACCAGGGCGGCAGATTCCCAGTGATGGATTTCCTTCCCCCCACAGCTCTCTCCATCTGCTGTGATTGATGCCGCCCCGACACCTCCAGAACGGAGTTGCACTGCTCCTTCCCATGCCCCAGGAACAACTCAAGTCCCTTTCAGGGTACGGAGGAAAAGACTCAACTCTCTTCCAGTGCCTGCCCTGATGCTGTTCACTTCTTTTTTCTCCCCATCGGGGGCTGGCGGTATTAAAAGCCACCTTTCCCGCTAAACAGTCCAGCCAAAGCCACCACGGCTGAGAAACCCACTGCAGAGAGGGTCTGACCTGACCTACCCTTTCCATCCTGAACCTCATTAAGCCCCAGTAAGCAGAGCCGGAGCTCCAGCCGGCACTTGGGTTCACTGTCTGCACCGCGGCTGCTGCGCGGCCACGCTGCCTTGCGCACTCACCCTCTACGCTCCAGCACGGGGACCTACCGAGAGGCCCTGGAGCGAGGCCTCCTTTTGGGATAGTTTGCACTTTCTCTGGTCAAAAAGACGGGGTGGGTGGGAGATGGTGGGGGGGAGAAGGCCCAGATCCCACTCGGACCCCCTCCCCGTCACTCTCATGGACTACAGCACCTGGATGAAAACAGCCACCAAGTGCTGGCTGGCCATACTGGAGACACATCTGGGGAGCTCATGGCACTGTGAGATTCCTTCACAATCCAGCCCACCCTGCGTGACCCTGGAGATGCGTGGGGACAGCATCGCGGAGGCGGGAGCCGTCTGCAGGAGGCGAAGTGCCGCAGCCCAAACCGCAGCCTGTGGGCTCACCCTTCGCTGGCAAGGGAGCCGCAGCACCGGCACGAGCCCCCGAGCCAGATCATCATCTCTGTCTGCCGGCCTCTGTTTTTACCAGGCAGACAGCTCTTTGGGAACCCCTCCCCGCCCTCCCCCGGGCTCCAGCACATCCGGCGGTGTGTGCAGATCCACGCACGTGTGTGTGAGCCTGCAGCGACAGGGTGGGCTGTGTTTGTGAATCCGCTTGAGACCAGCCAGTACTCACCTGAACTGCATCTTTTACACGCTTTAAAGTTGACTGTCCAAGCCACAAGAATGACCCTTACTGACCTTGTACAATACAACGTTTTTTAACCCTTTAGGTACCATAGACTTCGCATAAGGTTTGTTCACTTCGGAAGGGAAGGAGAGCAGAGCTAATGGGTGGGGGAAACATCCTTTCTCGGGAGGGAACAGAGGGTAAGAAAGCCCCGTTGTTCCTCTACACCTGCACATGCAGCCTCACAGCACCCACCCTGCCACACCTGTCTGTTGACACATGCTTTGCACTCTGGAATTTCTGAGTAGGAGAGTTGCCACGGAGCCCTGGGAAGGTCATGGCTACGTAGAAAAGGCAAAACAGCTGCCTCCAACCGTGAGATTCTGTTAGTTTTACAATCTACGTCTCTGGTACTTGAAGAGTTAAAACCCAGCTACTTCAAGAAGAAAAAGATACTTTACCTTTAGTTTAATGGATTTTACTTTGGTTATGATGCTCGGGAGGAGCCACCCTGACAGGGAGGTGGAGGGTGTTGTGCAGAAAGGTGTGCAATGCAGGGAGAGCTGCGGCATGCAGGCACATGCTTGCCAGCTGAGCAGGGAGGGGAAGAGCACCGAGGGCCTTGGCAGGCTGCGGGAGGACGAAGGAGGCTTTGCCATTGCAGAGACAAGATGCCATCGTGGTGTGAAACCGCCCAGCAAGAGACAGACAGACAGAGCAGGGAGCTGGTTTCATCGGGCTGAGAGCGTGCAGGCAGGCAAGCAGACAGCAGGAGAGAAAAGAAAGAAGAGCCATGGAGCAGGCCAAGGAGGAGCTGAACGGAAAAGGAGCTGCAGAGGGAAGACACAAAAGCCTGTCCCAAGCCAGAAGGTCTGTGAGCCGAAGGATGTCGCCCGGACCAGGGAGAATTGACTCGTTCCTCCAACAGCCAGCCAGGAAAAAATGGTTCACCGTGTTACAGGACACTGACAGCTCCCAGCTGATGTTCTTAAGAGCGTTAAATTAATGAGGCCACCCCTATGAAAGCTGAGCTACAGAGAAATAATCCAGGCCTCATCCTGGGCAGGTGCCAAGTTAGAAAAAGCCCCAAAGCCTTCCCCTTTCCCGGATCCCCTTCTCTTCACCCTTAAGGGAAAAAAATTTCAGTGTCACTAAGCCCTACTGCCATCAGCTCCCACACCCCTCTTCCAGCTGTTTTTATTGAACCAGACAGCACAGATCCCAGACCCTCTTTTCCTCCCATCCCCACGAACCTCAAGGAGGGAAACCCCTTGGAAAACAGAAGCAGTTTGACACTTATTTATCAGGTTCTTTCAGTTCGTTTTCCCCCACCCCACAGTGATGCTCCCTCTGACAGTACCACACTGGGATCAGAACCAGCAGATCTGCAGCAGTCAGGCAAGGATTTTCTTGATACACAGAGAGAGTAAGAAATTATTAAAAAAAAAAAAGGAAAAAAGGGGAAAAACAGGAAAGAAGAAAACAAAGTATGTTTGAATGGACTGGAGGCCTGAGAAAGCCCCAGTACGGAATTCTGTCTATGCAGAAACAGACTCCCCTTTCCTCCCACTCCTGGGGGGAGAGAAAGAGAAGGAGAGAGACAGGGAAAGA